ACTGAGCCACCCAGGCGCGCCAAGTTGCACATCTTTAGTATGATATCTAATAATGTTATTTTTTCATCACAATTTTAAGTAAAATTTATTCTTAGTTATTAGGAGACAGAAAATATTAAGTACTAGAGAAATTAACACTCCTATGTTCATTGCAACTCTACTCACAATAGCCAAGATGTGGAAACAACCTAAGTGTCCATCCACAGATGCATGGATAAAGAAAATAGGGTTTACATATACAATGGAATACAACACAACCTAAAAAAAAGGAAAGAAAGTCTGCAATATGGAACAACATGGATGAACCTTGCAGGCATTATGCTGAGTAAAATAAACCAGTCACAGAAAGACAAATACTACATGATTCTACTTATATGAGGCATCTAAAGTAGTCAAATTTGGGGGTATCTGGGTGGCTAAGTCGGTTGAATGTCGGACTCTTGATTTTCGCTCAGGTCATGATCTCAGGGTTGTTAGATCAAGCCCCAAGTTGGGCTCTGCACTCAGCACAGAGTCTGCTTGAGATTGATTCTCTCTCTCCCTCTGCCTCTGCCCCTTCCCCTGCTCTCACAAACACACTCACTCTCTGTAAAATAAATAAATAAGTAAATAAATAAAATCTTTTAAAAAATAATAATAAAATAAAATAGTCAAATTTATAGAATCAAATAGTGGAATGGTGGTTACCAGAGGCTGGGGGGAGGGGAAAATAAATTACTAATCAACAGACATAAATTTTCAGTCAAGCAAGATGAATAAGCTCTAGAGATCTGCTGTACAACATTCTACCTATAGTTAATAATAATGTATCGTACACTTAAAAATTTGTTAAGAGGGTAACTACAAAAGATCCTGAATAGCCAAAGCAATCTTGAGAAAGAAGACCAAAGCTAGAATATCATGCTCCCTGATTTCAATCTATACTACAAAGCTATAGTAACCAAAACAGTAGGGTGCTGACACAAAAACATACACATTGATCAATGAAACAGAATAGAAAGTCCAGAAATAAACCCACACTTATGGAGCACCTGGGTGGCTCAGTTCGTTAAGCTTCCGACTCTTGATTTCGCCTCAGGTCATGATCTCAGGGTCTTGAGACTGAGCCTCACATGAGGCTCTGCAATCAGCAGGGAATCTGCTTGAGATTCTTTCTCTCCCTCTTCCCCTCCCCCCGCTCGAGTGTGTACTCACGTGATCTTCCTCTCTCTCTCTCTCTCTCTCTCACAAATAAATTGTTAAACCCACACTTACATGGTCATTAATCTTCAACAAAGGAGGCAATATACAATGAGGAAAAAAGTCTCTTCAATAAATGGTGCTGGGGGAAACTGGAAAATCACATGCAAAAAAAGGAAACTGAAACATTTTCTTATACTGTACACAAAAATAAATTCAAAATAGATTAAAGATCTAAATGTAAGACCAGAAACTATAAAACTCCTAGAAGAAAACATTAGGCAATAAGCTCCGTAACATCAGTCTTGGCAACATATTGTGGATCTGTCGCCTCAAGCAAAGGTAACAAAAACAAAAATAAATAAATGGGACTATATAAAACTAAAAAGCTTTTGCAGAGTGAAGGTAACCATCAATAAAGTGAAAAGGCAATCTACTGAACAGGAGAAGATATTTGCAAATGATATAACCGATAATGGATTAATGTCCAAAATACATAAAGAACTCACACAACTCAATATAAAAAAACCAATCTAATTAGAAATGGGCAAAGCAGCTGAATAGACATGTCTCCAAAGAAGACACAGAAACATATGAAAAGATGCTCAACATTACTAATCATCAGGGAAATGCAAATCAAAACCACAATGAGATATCACCTCACACCTGTGAGAATGGCTATTACTAAAAAGAAAAAAAAATTACAAGCGTTGGAGAGGATGTAGAGAAAAGGGTACCCTCCTACACTGTTGGTGAGAATGCAAAATGGTGCAGCCACTATGGAAAAGAATAAGAAGGTTCCCCCCAAAATTAAAAACAGAACTACCATACAATCCAGCAATTCTACTTCTGGGTATTTATTTGAACCAAACAAAAACACTAATTTGAAAAAATATACGTACCCCTATGTTCACTACAGCATTATTTACAATAGCTGAGATATGAAAGCAATCTAGGTATCCATTGAAAGATGAATGGATAAAGACAGATATAGATATATATACACACATACTTCCAAGAAAAAAAGTACAAACTTCCAATAAAAAAAAAATTAAGAACATAGATCTCATGTTAAGTGTTCCTACTGTAATAAAACAAAATTTGAAAAAAGAAAATATTAAATACTTAAAAGATTTAATAAGATGAAGATTAAGTGTATTGGAATAAATATTCCATAAAAAACATCCAATTAGGGGCGCCTGGGTGGCTCAGTCGTTAAGCATCTGCCTCCGGCTTGGGTCATGATCCCAGGTACTGGGATCAAGCCCCACATCGGGCTCCCTGCTCCACAGGGTCCTGCTTCTGCCTCTCCCACTCCCCTGGCTTGTGTTCCCTCTCTTACTATGTCTCTCTCTCTCTCTCTGTCAAATTAATAAATAAAATCTTTAAAAAACAAATAAGAAAAAAATCCATCCAATTAAATAAATTTTAACTACTTTACTGAATAATGCATATGAAATAATATAAGATGTGATTCTCCGAATTTGCCCCAATATATCTGGAGAAATCTGGTGGTCCTACAAAATATTCCAGTTATATATGTAAAATAATTAGTCACTAATCTACGCTGCTAACCATTCCTTCATGACTCTCTTCCCTGGTCACTTCCCTCGGCCTAAATCTTAAAATACCAGTGTGCCCTAGGGTACTATCCCATAACCTTTTCCTTTTCTTCTGGATGACTTCTGTAAGATCTTAGTTCACTCCCAAGGCTCCAGGTATCAACCAGAAGCTGATGATTCCCAAACCTGAACCCCTGGACAGTCACGTTTTTTGAGTTCCAAGATAAATGCTTATTACATCTCCACTTATGACCCGCAACACAACTCATATTTCAACAATCTAAGCTGTTCCTCTATCCAACAACTGCCCTAATCTGTTCCTCCTCCTGTTTCTACCTTGTTCAGGGACAAAGCTTCCCATGCAATAGCCCAAGCCAGAAATCTTGTCTTCAGTATAGATTGCTCCTTCTTCCTCCCTCCTCCTGTCAATTGGCCATCAAATCCAGGTACTCCCCTTCTAACTAGTCTCCTTACCCAGTCCTGCAGCCCCCCAATCCCTCCTCCACATTGCCTTCAAAGAAATCTTTCAGAGTGTGCATCTGACAATGTCACTCCTTTGTACAAAATTACACCGGTGGTAGTCACGTGAAATACAAATTCCTTAGCCTGTCATACAAATTCTCTCAGCATCTCCACTCCCCTGGGGCCTAACTCCCATTTCCCACTACTCCCCCTTTGGTACATCATGCTGCAATCACACAGAAATGGTTCTTCAAACAAATCCAGGCTCGCACTCTCCCTGGCCTCCCGGCTTTACACGTGTCCCGTGACACCCCCAAACTCTGTTCAGATTCAGCTCAGGCATCACAAACGCCTCACAGCTCGTACCATGCCTGGCCTCCTGGTTTTACACATGCGCCCATCCCCAGTCCATCCAACCGACTTTATCAAGATTCACCCAGGCATCCGAATTTCCCGGACGCCCTGTCCCTCTCAAAGATCTCAGATAACCCCGCGTATACATCTCTATCAGATATTCACACGGTATTACATGGCCTGTCTCTCTCATAAGATTGAATTCCTGGAAGCAGAGGCTCTTTCATCTTCCATATCTCAAGCGCCTGGCACAGCACCCGACATGCTAAAAACCAAGCCCATGTATCATCCCCCCTACGAACCCCCAAGAAAACAGGTCACAGCCACCCAGGAAAAAAAAACGGTCTAAAGGTGTCTCATGCTGGGGCAGGTAGAGACCTAGGGCGAGGGCGAAGTCCACCAGCACAGTCATGCTCTGCTCAAACCCGGGCGGAGTGACAGTTGCACGGACGCAGGTCAGGGCGAACCCCCACCGAAGGACAGGAGGTGGCGATCTATTTCAAGGGTCCCGTCCTCACGCACGGAGCCTCCGCCCTGGCGAGGGTTGGGGCTGCGCGCCGCTCGCCCTGCCTCCCGCCCAGGCCCAGCTCCCCGGCCCGCGCCCCGAGTGCCGGAGCCTCACTTCTCCACATCCGCGGACTTCATGATGTGGGTCTTGGACGCCGTCAGCTTCCAGGGCCCGAAGGAGAAGTCCTGGTGGCTGCTCTGGAAGCCGTGGATCATCATGGCCGAGGCGGCACCGGCGCGGGCCTCACGGAACACGCTGGAGCAGCGGCGGCAGCTGCAGTGGCAGCGGCAGACACCGGTTCCTCCGCCTTCGTCCGGCCCAGCCCCCTCGGCTTCCGAGCCGTTACCATGCCCGGCTCCTCCCCGCCCCGCCCCCTGCCGGCCGACCCGAACGCGGGCCCTCCTTTCCTCATTCTCCGCCCCTTCGACTTTTGCTTCCGGGACCAGTTGCTAATGTTGCGTGACCTACGTCTTACGTCACGATGCACCGGAAAACAGAAAAGGGGAGAGACAACTGAGGGGCGGGGCTTCTGCCGCAGGGGGTGTGGCCAGGGACGTACCGCCCCTCCCGCTGGACTCTTTGGATGACGTCATCTGGGGGTGTTTTACAGAACTCTAGTGATGGAGAAGGCGAATTCGGCAGGATCTTTAGAGAGCTCGCAAAGCAGTGTCATTACGTCGCATGTTGACGAATCAGTGTGCAGAGGAAATGTCCTATATTTTTCTGTCGAGGCCAAAAAACAGAAATCCCTTAGAATTTAGGAGGTCCAGCACCGAGTGTTACATGATTCAGAAGTGGACATCTAACTACTGTTGACTAAGACAGACTCCTATCAAAAATTTCAGACTTCGGACAGTTCAAGACTTTCCTAATCTAGGCCCCTGGAATAGTGGAAGCAACACTGGAGAAACTGGTATTAAATCCATTTTTGCAGTGCTGTTTTGGGCATCCTTCGGCAAACCTCTTAACTAATGATTTTGGCTTCAGTTGCCTCAAAATGACATGGCTTGATGTAAGGACATCTCCCAAATCTGTCTTTCTGGCCTCATTTCCAGAAGCTCCCTTTCAGCCCTATCCACGTGCACTCAGCCCTACTTCTAAGCCCTTATCCTTGCTGTTCTATCTCTTAAACCTAATAAGCATATTCAGACGTATCCTTTTTCAGACCCAACCTGGCACCTTTGGAAAGTATAGATTCTCCAGCCTCCCTGCCTCACCCTAGCCAAGGAATGATATGCCTTGAACGGATACATCTTCAAAAGACTTTTCCTGAACCCTGGATTTACTTAACTTCTTCCTCTGAGAAGATTTAAGTTGATTTAAGTCAACTTCAGTGTCCACTCATTCATCCAAATGAATATCAAATGTGAGCACCTGCGGTTTGCCAAGCATTTGTTTTATAACAAAATAGTATTCTCACCCTATCTTGTAATGGAGGTTGACAATGGAGTTCTGAGACATGATTTCAGTGATACAAGGCCAGACCCCTTTCCCCTCAAAATGTACGTTATCTATCTATCCAGTTTCATCTAAAATTTCAATTGCTTCAAGTAGGGCAATGGGCCACTGATTCGCTTAATCAATCATTTACAATTTAGTCTAAATGATTTTATTATATCATTTTCTATGAGCTGGTCTTGATAGAGAAGTACCAGGCCACACTATCCAGACCTGAGTCAGTGCTTTCCCACCTACCCTTTCAAAACATTTGTCTCCTTCCCAAATTTTCCTAGGCAGGCTACAATGAAGACTTCCTATTAGAAGGATATTTCTACTTAAGTTTAAAATCTAACAATTAAGCCCTTTATCTCTAGGGTCTCCAATTCAGCACCTTATTAGAAACTTTAAAACTAAAATTATTTGAGGGTACAAAGAAATAAATCTTTAAAGGTACAATTTAAAGCACTCACACATTAGAAAGAGAGATATTTAGGCATTAACTGGGTATTGTCTGTGCCCATTCAAGTACTATCATGCAACAACTATCTGCTTTATAAAGCTGGTTCTTGAGAAGAAGTAATACGTGGGAACTTGATTTTTCAACAGATTGGACAAAGGATGTTTGCACCACCCAATCAAACCATCTACTGTACAAGTTTGTCAAGATTCAGTTTTTAGGGACGCCTGGGTGGCCCAGTCGGTTAAGCGTCTGCCTTGGACTCAGGTCATGATCCCAGGGTCCTGGAACTGAGTCTTGCATGGGGCTCCTTGCTCAGCAGGGAGCCTGCTTCTCCCTCTGCCTGCCACTCTCCCTGCTTGTGCACGCACCCTCTCTCTCTCTCTCTCTGACAAATAAATAAATAAATATTTTTAAAAAAAATTT